CTTCCCTTCCCTTCCCTTCCCTTCCCTTCCCTGTTCTTCTTTAATCCCTCCCTCTATTCATCCCCTTCAACCATTTTCCATGGCATAGGTTCCCTTTGTTTTCACAAGGAATGAAGCTCTGCTCTGGTCAAAGAGCAGTCATCTGTCCCCAAGGAAGACTGTTGGAAGCAGAGTTCCCCAGGTCAACTGAGAACTGCTCTAATTACTCCTGATATCACCCCCCATGTGTGTATCACTACAACTCTCCTTAATTCCAGCAATCCTGCTCCATTGCCTGGACAGAGCCTTGCTGTGTGTGACAGAGCAAACTGTTCTGGTGGCAACCATTCTTGAGCTCAGCTGAACTCGTAACACATGGTTGAAAGTGATTTTTCACTGTTACTACCTTAAACAATAGTGGTGGTAAGGGACTGAGGGACTGGTGCTTTCCTCCTGCACCCACAGGGTCAGAACATTTCTATTTTGGTAAAACATGGAGCAGAAGCATAGTTCTGCTGACACCTCAAAAAAAAAAAACAAACAACCTTTCAAAATAAGGACAGTTTTTAGACTGTTCTTAAAATGGCCTGAAACTTGAAAACCACTAACTGCAGCTGAAAAGCTACTTGTTTTATGATGTGGGATGCTTTCTTCCACACGGTGATTTCTTGATGTCTTAGTACATGAGTTTTGCATTTCCCGAAATGAAATGGGGGAGAGCAGTGCAGAAATCACACATTGCCCTTTTTTTCTAGTGTCTCATTCTATCCTTTAAGCCCAGAATTCCAGTATAGGCTCTGGCCTTCACATAAAAGGTATACAGCAGATAGTTTCATCAAAAGGAAAGTAGTGACTTCAGATTCAGTTTGAGAATTTTATTAAAACCAAAGGTTTCTGTTCTATACAAAACTGAGGAGATTTCTAACAAAAAAAAGTGTATTAATGACATAGGAAACAATGTAATGTAAGTGGCTTGTTGATAAAAATCTCTGAAAGCTATATACAGGATTAATACTACACAACTGTATTAATGCAGAGACTGTCAGCAACTTATAGCAATATATACAAACTACCTTTACACTCATAAATATCTTATTTACAGCTAATAAATAACATCCAAAGCTAAATCATGTTTCCTTATGAAAAGAACCTTCACTATTTTGTATCCAAATTCTAAATTTGTTTGCATTTGATCATGTATTAAGAGCACAGTTGTCCAGATACTTTGCTTCTGAAGAATTTAACTTTTAAGAGAAAATTGCATCACAATGTGGAAACTATAGGGAATAAATCATTGTATTTATTTTTAGAGGTCTGAAATGCAGTGGCTCAATACTCAACCCCACCCTCAGTGACTCATCACATCTCTGCTGTGGTTTAATCAAATGTGAAATCAAATGTGAGCAAATTCAGAGCTATTAATATTCCAACATATTGCACTGTTTAAGGCTTTTATCCCCAAATATACTAGCAGCTACAGTTGGAAATAGGAAACAAATTGTGCACATAAACACACACATTTTTTTGCTTTGCTTTTAAGACGGGATAATATTGGAGAAATCACCGTCTCCATGCTGTCTTGCACATGCAGCAAAAGACTACAACACCCAGCATCAATACTTAACATTACATTTCTCCAAATATCCACCTTCAAGCCCTTGTACCTCCCCAGCATTTGTTTACCCCCTAGAAAGTTAAAAGAGGGCTATGGAACCTTTCAGCACACTAGAAAAATCATAAGTTACTTAAAAATTGGGAAGCAGACTGCCTTCAATATACCTATTTTTTTAAACTTGCAGCATGGCTAATCTGAGTGTTTTTCAGAGCGCTCCTTCTTGAGGAGCACACAACTAGGCTGCTTTTAACTGGCTCAGCTCCTGCTTCCTGCTGAATTCCATCTCATGGCAGAAAACTAAGCAGCTCCTAGCACTGTACCACAGCCAAGAAACAAACTGAAGTGGATCACTGGCAGTCACAATTCCAGTACGAGGAGGTATGAGCATCCTTGTCAGCTATCAAGTGGATTCACTTGCACTGAAAGCTGCATACAGCAGCCACTCAGCTGCATGACTGACACTTGGTGTTAAAGAGCAGAGAAAATGTGACAGTTTTGGCATACATGACGCAAGCAAGCAGGGAGAGGGTGGAGGGTGGGGGAAATATCTGAAATATCCTGCATTTTCTGGTAGCTCAGTTCCTCTGCAGTTCCATTTTCACAGTGTTGAAGGCTAGACAGTTTCGTGTGCTATAACTGAAAGCATAGATAAAATATGAAATGTCTGCATAAGACACTGGCATTGCTACCTTCTCTCACAGCTGTTATTTATTCCAGGGTAAGCAGCGTAGAAATATATAGCTTAACAGATCATACTGCTAAGCAGCACTGGCATCTACCCCTAATTACATACATTCATAACCACAAACTAAAAAAATTCATCCCCATATTAAGTCAGTCCCTGACACCTTCTAGTATTACACACAGCAAAGGTGGTTTCTTTTTCACATGGGAAACCCACTTATTTGCTAAACATACACTTGAAAACTATGAACTCTCGCCACTGAACTGCCTGAAAATTCAGTTAGCCAAGACAGAAAAAAATCCATCTAGTTTCAAATGACTCCTGAAAAGAACAAAAAAACCAACTAACCAAAAAAAAACCCCAAGCCAAACAAAACAGAAACAACAACAAAAAATAAAACCAAGTACAGGGCTTTGTTTCTTTCCAATAAATATTAAAAAATTGCTATGTAAGATCTGATGTCAAGAAACCTTGTCACAAGGCACCATGATTAAGCAAAATTACCTCTATCTTTTCAGCACTCCAAACTTTTGGCAAGTTGTTTTGCAGGTTTCTTTCTGTTTTTAACTATTTGGATAATGTATCTTTATGGTTAGTAACTTCATATGCTGAGACTTTTTTACAAGAAGTCTCTCAAATAGCTAGGAATAGCAGGCAAAAATCCAGCAATGGATAAATATTTCTATATATTTGGTTCTGAACATCCAGTCCACAGGGATGAACAGACTTTTCTCCTCCCCAGTGTGAAAAATCTTTGTTCTTGTCACTTAAGCAGATTCATGAGCAGAATTTTCTTTCGAGGTTTTCTTGGAACTGTGGAAAAAAAAAATTTAAGGTGATGAGGAAGATTTAAGACACTTGTTCTCTTGTCTTACTTTTGAGAACTAAGATTTTAAAACTCCCTACTTAACAGGAAGATAAATGACGTGCTAGGGCTTCTCTTGGCTTCTGCTTGGTTTTATGTCAGATACACACAGATATACACACTCAAGGCCTGCCCAGGTCATTGCCCCAGAGTAGCAGCCAAGCACATGTGCATTTTTATGCAGAGCTAGATCTCAGTCCAGAAGTGTCCCCATGAGACCATTCACACACAGCTATCGAACTAAAATAAATATAACCACTTCTCTATCTCAGACTTCAGTGGGTGAAGTCCAAGGATTGTCCTCACATTTAATCTGGGTCAGGAGAATTACTGATAAAAATACTAAAGTGCACTAAAGGGCTATTAAAGAAAGGCAGGATCTCTCATCCAAAGAGATGAAAATCGCAGGAATTCACTCTAGTGCCTTGTCTGTAACCCTCTCTAACAGTCCCTCATTCTGTAAGAGGCAGTGGCCAGCACTGGCTTTGCAGACATGCCAACAACCACATTAGATGGTTAGCAGAGAAGCCAGCAAAGAGCTTTTAAGCTGCTAAAAAGTGGCGATAAGCAAGCTGCTGGGTAGTCTGAGCTGTGATGCTTCTCAAGCCTTGAGAAGACTAGTGCACAAGTCAATTAAAGGGTAAGTTTTATTACTGCCCAAGTGGTAATAAAACAATCTAAAACCAATAGTGATTACTCATACCCTCCTCTCTTCCTGTTGACGGGCTGCTCCGAGCATTTCACAAATATTGCTGGGTCTTCTCCCTTGCTGAGACGTGAGGTGCCATCTCGAGAACAGAACACCACTCTGTGGAAAAAAATATTGGAAAAATCACATGACTGAGCCAAACATCCTTTTTTAATCTTAGAAAGAAGGCTGGTGCTTGGAAACAGTCTTTATACTTTGTCACGTGGGGCACTGCTACTTCGCAGGCTTGCTAGAAAGTTATTTTTAAAAGAAAATTCTGCAACAAAGGAAATGCTGTGCAAGAACTGGTAAATGAATTATACATGGGCATCAAAGCATAGCCATAACTTTCACTGATCCTTTGCAAAAAATCTTCTTGTGGCTAAGACAGCAGAAGTCCTATCCCAAAGTCTCTTGGATCTTTATTTACACCAGTCTTTATGTGAGTTTTTCGTCAGGTGAATGAACTTGGAAGAAAGCCATACTCCCTCAAATGTTTGCAAACGAAGTAGGTTACAATTTCCAGAAAACACGAGCACTTGCTTTTCCATTTATCAGTACTTTCTCCACCCCTATATTTGTTCAGCTCTGATAACTGTTCTTTGATCAAGCGACTGACCTGTTTATTCAAAGAAGGAACTTATTATTCTTTACTATACTATACGTAGGACACACATACTCTGTTCTGGGCCCATGTTCTGCAAACAGATCTGATGTTTAGTGAATATGAGTACTTCAAAAGATTCATGTCAAAGCACTTCTGTTCAGACTTTGATATTTCAACATTCACCCATTAGCAATGTCCTGCAACAGTCACGTGTTTCAGTTTTCACCCACCATTCAGGTATTCCACCCCTTAAAAAATCCAACTTAACTAAATTATAATTTCTTGCACAAACACATTTTTGGAAGGATTTCTAAAAGTCTCCATCTAAGCATGTTCTTTGTAGCAAAACCTATGCAAATACCCGGCATGAAAAGAAGGACAGAGATTGCAAACACAGTCACAGATGCTGGTTCAAGGAGATGTTCTCCTGCATATTACAACTAACCTCAAGTAGATAGAATAGTGGGATACAAATTAATTACATGGGAGTAAGACTAAAAACTGCAGATCCCAGTGGAAGTAAACGACTGAACCTGGCTGATATAAAAAGTGGTTTGATAACACTGAGGCCCTGCTTATCATTATGCTGCACCTATTTGTAACTGCTTAACATGTTTGCCTCAGTCTGTGAGATATTAGAAATCAGGAAGCAGTATTAGAACTAATATAGCTTATAACAATCAAAATAAGGTACTTTTTCTGAGTTTCTCCTGACTTCACTCTGATTCTCTGGATGTCAAACGTTAAAGGACTCCACCAGTCTGACCAGCTGAAGAAGGTGTCTTTTTCCCACTGCAGCTTCAGCATAAGCAGGTCTCCAATATCCACTTCTGTGTAAATCAGGAAGGAAAATGTCTTGTTTGAGGAGACTTCAGGCCTATGGGGAGAAGAATAAGGAAAACAAACAAACAAACAAACAAAAAAACACATCTGAAATTCTTGGACAGACAAAGAAAATTAAGGTGCAATAGAACCTCGAATTTTTGTACTCCACAGGAGGAAGCAACTTTCTGCATAGTCTTGATGGATGAAGTAAGGAAAAAAAGCCTCTACCTTTTGTAGAGGCAAAAGGAACTTCCTTCTGTAGCAAGACTGGTAAAATCCTGGGACAGTCTGCCAGGCAAGGGTTGTCCTCTCTTGTGCTGATAACTCTCAGAAAAGCCAAACAACCACCACCAATAAACAGTCTACATTCCTCAGAGCAGAAAACAGGCTTTGGTGTTTTCCAACTCCATTCCTTGCCAGCCTGTGTCTAGGGATGTACATACAAACTTCTGCTTATTTGCAGAGATGTGAAAGCAAATCCCAAGTCCCCCTCAGCTTTTGTGCTGGGACTTTCAGATGCATAAGTCTGCTTTTAAGAAGATTTAACATGGTATAAAGACACTGAGAAGAAAATAAGAAAGCACTAAAAAATTCTTATTAGGCGGAGTCACAAGTCAGAATTCACGTTTCCATATTTCAGATGTCTTATCAAGAAGAGCCCCTGTAGGGTTTGGTTCATTAGCTTCAGAAGTGAATGGAACTCCTTCATCAAGGACAAGAACAGATTCTGGGACCCTGTAAGATTACTGTAGGTGGAGCTAGAACAAGTTTTGCAGTTGAGACTTCAACAAATTTAGGTAAACTCAACAGTACTTTGCAGCTGTTTCTGTAGCTACTTACAGTGTGAAACCAATGTTCTCACTCTCATCTAGAGTGCCATAGAGAGATATCAGGAATGGCTGATTTGTCTTGGTCATGTCTGTCTTTCCAAAGAAATGGATCTTGACCTGGTAATGAAAGACTGAAAGAAAAGGAAATAAAATGCCATTAGGAAAATTCAATCTCCAAAGAGACAGCTGATGACAAAGCCACCCTGCCTCACCTCTGCAAATCCTAGGCTGGAATATGCCAACTTCACTAAAATGAGTTTATTTCCCTGTGGGTGTTCAAGGAACTACTTTTGTTAGAACATAAATACTAGCATGCGAGGCAATCACCATTAAAGAACACCTTTGCAGCTCTTGCACCTAAACTCTGCACTCAAGCTGACACTGTAATAACCCCAGAGTATGCAGTATCACCTTCAACCCTGCTACTGAACATATGAGACTTGCTGTACGTGGCTTGAAACAAGTGAGCTGTGCCCTTCTCTTACAGGAAGCTTGGTAAAAGGGAAAAAAAAATCAACCCATTGACACTGCAGATTAAGCACCAGATGCCAACAGAACAGTCTTGCAGCTGCTCTAACAGTGCAGAAATGTGTCTTTTGATTGCTGGTCCATCACACAATGCACGCTATAAGCATACCATAGGGTACAGGCAAAGCTAAGGAGGAAAATAAAGTAGTAAGATCCAACACTATTTTCCTAGCTGAAAGCCTCTCAGTTCTCTCCGGCATTGTCATTCTCAGACCTCCCACAGCAGCAACTGGAATCAACAAGGGCTGTGATATTTTAATGAGGGCTGGTGCTCCTCTAGCAAGTGCACTACCAAAGGCACAAATCTGATGCTTGCATATCTTTAAATAAGGTGCTCACTCAACTGAGTTTTGCTGATTATTTCCTCAGCAGAAGGAAATAATCATTTGGATGAAAACCACTGAAAAAGTTTCAAGCGATCTGGCAGCAGAGGAAGTCTAACTTTTGCTACTTGGAAACTTGTTACAAAATACCTTTCTTTTCGTACTCTCCCCCACACCTCCAGTAAGACAATACTTTTGTCTGAGACTTGTGTTCAATGGCAAACGACAGGCCAGATATCCGCCTGCTCACCACGGGCACCAAAGCAGCAATATTCCCCCCTGCAGCCCATGGCCACCAGGCACACGGCTGGGCACAAGCGCCACTCTTGCTCACCAGTAAGCAAGGAGTGCCTACCTTTATAGGGCATCTGAGCACGGGTTTTCAGATACATTTTGGTGTTTCTCTTTGTTCTCACTCTGTTGACCTTGTAGCCCAAATTGTTGCAGCGGTTCTTGCGGCAGCTCAGGCAGAGGCCCTTCTCAAAGGCCTCCTTGGTGTTACAGCGGTAGGCCATGCTGGGCTTCTCCTCATTCAGGAGAGAGTCAATGAAGAGGTGGATGGATCGTTCATGGGAGCATTTCACCAGCTGGTCCACATCTTGAAAGAATGAAAATGTGTAATATGTATAAACGTATGCATATAATAATATAAACCCCTAAGCAATGCTGTCAACAGGCATGATCCACTATGGCAGAGCTGGGCTTTACAGGATGACTCTTAAAAGCACTTGAAATACCACATTCCTGTGCCTCTCAGAGATCTATCCTTGCAAGACTTCTTGCAGGGCCATTCGGGTTTCCCTCAGAATGTTACACTGTTTGTTTCAGAGCAACCTCACCTCCAAGGCCTTTCTCAGCGATCAGACGCAGTGCTTCCCCAAAATTGCAACCTGGCTGGAAACCTCCACCATTGGGATAAATATCAATGTGTCCAACAGGTTTCTGGATCCCAATGCTGCGGTCTGGAGAGCCTCGGGTGTAGGTGTGTAGGACATCCACAAACTCAGCATCATCCGGGGAGAGGCGGGTGAGTTCATCAGCATACTCAAAGGTAGGACCAGCAGGATCCAGCCCTTTATGGGGCAAACCACAAAGGAAAACTGAAATTATTTCCTGCCCAAGATACTCACATTGATAATAAATGCCAAACTCAGCTGCCACATTGAGCTGGATTATTGAGTTTTCCTGCAGCCATTAGAGATGGATCATTTAAATAACATACAGGAGAATCAAATGCACTACCTTGAAATGTTGTCACTGCTTAAAAAAAATAAAAATGTATGTAAACACATGGAAGGAACCCCAGCTAACTTCCTCAGAGCAGTAGCATTTCCAGTGGATGGAAGAAATAAGCTCAAAAGTATTTTCTCAATGTCTTCCTCTCTTGTCAAGAACCGCAGAACTTGTATTTGAAGTGTCTGAAGTGTGGAAAAGTCTTGCTGATAACTCCATGCCAGGGGAACAAGTGGGAAACATAAATGAGGCTTTCAGTGTCTACACACCTAAGGGGAAGGGGATTATTATGATAAACTGTTGCTGCAGCAACACTAACATCAAAAAAACCCAGAACTACACTGCCAGTGAACAACTACTATCTCCTGTTCAGATAACAACCTGAGAGACGGCTGAAGGGACACGTCTTTCTGCAGCCCTCAGCTAGGGACAGGCACCTGTGCTGTTCACCCACAGTTAGCTGTACCTGGTGTGAGCTGCCTCCCCCTCAGCTGTGAGGGCTTCAGGGGTTACACTACGTTGCTCCCTGTGCTTTCCCCAGGGAAAAGTTCATCCTCAGCACCAAGAGCAACTGTGGAGTCACAAGAGAGGGTACTGACATATCAGTGATTTGGCAGTCTCAGTGAAAGCAGAAAAGCTGCAGCTTCGAGAAAGGAAGGGCAGAGGGACTAACGCTTTGGCCTCCTGACTTTTATCTGCCACCTCTCGGACTCGACCTTTCTAGATGTGACTGCTAGCCCAGCTCTCAACATGCCTGTGGATCTGGGATGACAGCCAGGCTCAGGTGAAAGACTAAAGGGTGCCAGGAGCTAGGCTCCCTTCTGAATGGTGCTCCCAATCTCTCTCAGCAACAAAGGCACCACAGATGAGCAATTTTCTTAGCCACATTTGCTGATGCTGACAATTCCTTTGTCACTGAGATCAGTGCTAGGGGCTCAGCTGTCCAGGTGCTGGGTTGTAAACCAGCACCAGAGCCTCAGGCTCCAAAAATCACCTTAAACAGAAATCTAAGCAGACATAGCAACAGAGCAAATATATGTCTTCCCCAAATTCTCACAGTATTATTTCCAGCCTAGAATATTTTTGATCCTATTATGATTAACTCTGTAATAACCCACACTGGATTTCTTCTGGTTATCCGCCCAGTCTCCCTTTGAGCCTATATAAACTTCTTGCATCATCCCATGGCAGAATTCTGCAGGTACTAAACCTGCTGCAGTGGAATTTACTTCCTGTTCTCTTTCAATAGCTCTCATCAGCTGCAAGGAATGACTGCCTGGATAAATACAACCCACTGAATTTCTCATGCTGCAAGTGATACCATGACCTTTTCTGAGCCATGGTTTGGTCAGTCCCCACCACAGCCCTGCCAAGCTACTCTTTTATCAGGGCCTACTCACTCATTTCTTGTAAGGAAGCAAATAAAGGCTTCTCACTCACCACCGTTGTTGTTATTTCCTGAATCTTTTTCCAGTTCTACTCCAGAAATATCAGCCCTGCTGTTTCATTAAATAATGAATATATAACCAAAGTACTGCCAGCAAGAAACAAACATTCTGGTGATTTTTCAGTGGAACATAATATTTCAGTATGGAAGAGATGCAACTCTCCACTCTACAGTCACAGGTTTTCTTACCAGTAATTCTGTTCACCTTCTTTTTGGCCAGGTTCCCAGCAATCCCAGCAGCATGGGCACCTAGACTGTACCCCAGCAAGTGAAGATTGTTGAGAGGATAATTGAATTGCTCCTGCAGAAGGGAATAATTCGTTTAAAATACACAACTAAATACAAAAAAACATCAGAAGACACAAAATAAAATGTTTTGCTAATACTGGGATTTTGTTTGAGCCATGAATAATAGAAGAAACACAGTTTATTCAGAAATACAGTTATCATAATTTTGTGTCATTGAAGATTTCATCACGTAACTAATTTATGGCCAAAATCTAAACCATGAGGAATGCAAAATAAAGGACAGAACACAGGGCTGTTTATTACATAAAGGTTTTCAGCCACTCGCTACTCAGCAGTTTCTGGATCTCCTAAGGCAGGGCACATTTCTAATTCCCAAGGGCTGGCTACTGTAGAATATATAGGAACCTGTCTTTCATAGCTACCTCTCACAGAGCCCTCAGAAATGCTCTGGGGCCACAGGACCCCACAAACCACAAGGTAAAGTTTCTGGAATGCAGTACAGAAGGCCTCTGAGTAGGAGATAGCCAGTAAATCAAGGCCGGAATTTTACCAGTCCAGCACAACTACTGTCTGCAAGAGTTTAACTCCATCTACCCAGCAGGAGATGACTAACATGCTGCATCATTGCTGTTTTGTCTCGAATGACATTACATAGAATGTGAGACTTGTCTCCATGTCTTACCTCCATCCAATCAATAAACGTAGCAACATCCCTTCCCACCAGCCTGGTGTACGCAGCAGACACGGGATAGTGCTGCTGAGCTCGAACTAGCCAATCCACCACAATGACGTTGGAGTCAGGCTCCCTCTTGTACAGGGCATCCACCAGCTTTGGGACCCAACTTTCATACATCCCTGTCACCTGTTGGTTTTGATGATTTTAATAATTAAAATTAAAATAGGAGATATATTAATATATCTGTAAGACACTTCTGCACACTTTATGCGATGTGTGGTTAAAAGGGAGATGCCTCCCACTTCGTCTTACCGTCCACCCGTGGATGACCACGAAGGTTTTACTGGTGTGATTGAAGTTGCACTGTGCCAGGCTGTCCACCTGCCCAGGAACCAGGTAGCAGACATCTTCATCGGGCTCTGCAGGCGTCCGTAAAGAAAACTTGCTCTCGATTCCCTCAAAATTGTTTTCACCTGTTGTAAGAGCACAAAAAACATAGCAGAGTTTTAGGAGTACTAGGACAAAGTCAGGAGGCACAGGCACAATGTTGGAGAGATATCTGGAGCAGTCAAGAAATAGGATATCTGGTTTTCATTTCCTACAGCACTCAATGGAACATACAACAGCCGTGTAAAGGGGAAATCAAAGGGTGAAAATTTCCCCCATTCCAAGGTCCTGCTAAAACAGTAAGAATCTGCTGAGCTGTCAGAGAGGTATGAATCCATTTTAAGAGTCAGTATTTTCCCCATTGCGTTAAGCAGGAAACCTCATAAGTATCCCAAGAGTACAGAAAACTGCACAGGAGAGTCACCGACAGGCATCCAGGAAAGCAGAGAGTTATTACCATACTATTACATATTTTGCTGGTGTATTTTCTACATCACCTCATCAATAATCACTGCCTAACAAGGCCTTTTATAACACCACGTAGTTGCAGTGCATTAAAAGCTGTGAAGTCACCAGTGCTTTATAAAATACTAGTTTTAAGTTTTACCAACAAATAGCAGGTGAGAAGATCAGACACCCATCAGAGAAACTGAATAGCAAACCAGCAGTCTATTTTTGGAGTACGTTTTCAGGTCTGATAATCTACAGAAAATTAAGCCTCAGAAAAATATTTTCTCTGCCTGAAGCAGAGGGAAGGAGGCTGAGAAGGAGGTGCAGATCGTGTACTGGTGGTAACAAAGTATGTCGTGGCCTGCAAAGATCACTCCCTCCAAATCCTGCTTCAAAATTTAAGTACTCCTTTTCCTGCCAAGACAGAGAAGTGACTTTACGCTTCATACTCATTATTTCTTTTGGGAAGAAACTTAAATGTCTCCTCTTTTTATGTCTGATTCAACTCTTAAATGCCTCTATGTACAGAATACTCTGTAATTAACTTTTCAAAACCCAGGCCCCAGTTTGGCAACTTGAGTTAGGCAAATATTGATAGCTTGTTTTTCAAGTACAGATGAACTTGGGCCAACTCTGTCCTGCTCAGCATTGTCTTTCCTGGCATCAAGACCACCAACCTTTCACAAACTCTTAAACACACATTAATGAATGGCTCCAAGCCACCATGGGGAATAAAAATGAACAAGGTAAGGACCTTATGCTAGGCAGGCAAAACAGAATTCCACTCCTTTTTCCCATTGCAGAAGAGGTTTTCTATGATAATTGGTAGATTAGCATTTCCTGCATAAAGTTGTGCTGCATCACTCAGGTGATAAATAACTAACAATTAAGTCTTCTCCAAAACAGTTTTTCTGATCTTCTCATTCAAGCTACTACACACAGCAAGGCACAGCCTTATGCCTGACCTCACCTCTGGGAGCTCTATAAAGTCTGGGAAGTCCTTGCTGTTCTTGGAGGGTCACAAGAAATCAGGGTCTTACCTCTTGCATTAGCTCTAAAACCAGCACAGAGCTTTGCAACAAATGCTTATGTAGCAGTCTCAGAGAAACTTGTCAGCCATAATCAATGGCTTAGCATTGCCCGAGTTCAGCTTGATTTCTCACCTGTCAAAGCACATGCAGGAAAGCAAGAACCGTTCACTGAACAGAGGCAGTACTCAGCTTTAGGTTTTGACCTTGACTGTGCTAGGCTGGCTAGCTAATCCAGGATAATTACACTGAGGGCCCCCTTCCTGCCTCCTTCCTCCTAAAGAAAGGTGTTTTTCATAGACCTTACCCTTCCTTCTACCAGTAGAAGTATTCACATAATGGTAAATATAACATTTTACCCACTAATGAAAGCTAAATTTGCCAAACTAACCAAATGTTTGCACCTTTTCTATATTTTTACAAGTTCAAAATTTCTTTTTGTAACCAACTGACAGTATAAAACATTTCTTGAACAAATCTTTAGACCTGTATTATTTACTTTTTAGCCAGAAAAAGAAAAATCACAAAAGCTGGGCTGGTTAAATATCAGCTATAACCTTTCACTCAGATGTGAATCAGTAAAACCTTGAAAGGAACAAGAACAGCTTTCAACTGTAAGGCATACAACGCTAGGACTTTCAATTATGTATATTCCCTCCTAGTACAGGAAGTCGAACAAGAATAGTCCACCTGCTCACTAGCTAATAGTGCTTCCTTTCATACCTAGATATCATTTCCCTTCTGGATTACATTTATCTGATAATCATCCAATATCTAAATTACATTGATATCCTGTCTTGTAGTGTGTTTTCAATTACAAACACATGCTAGAATTTGCATGTAAGGTCAAACCGCAGCTCTTTTGAAAACAAGTTAATAGGAAATTTACAATTCTAAGTGTACTATACTTAAGGGTACACTTGGAAAAGTGCACCAAGCTTAGAAAAACTGCAGTACAGTGGCATCTGCCACTGAAGATGTGTTAAGTGCTTCACACATATTTTCGTGTTTTAGTCTAAAAATCTTTGATGGAGATTTGAGAAAATAAAATCACTGAGATACAATCACTACCAGGAAAGCAGCAGCTGCAAAGCAACAGCCCATGAGTTAGGGAAATGGCAGGCAGTCAGTTCTCTCATTTAACTATGTTGTATGAGGAATTAGAAAGTCAGAAGAAATTACGGTTATCATCTTATGCCCACAAAAAGTGTCATGCTATCTTATGTCCACACATGGTCAGTTCCTAGCAGGCAAGATACTGTTTGGATGAGAGAAGTGTGTGTGTAGTGGAGCTTATTACAGACTTCTGCACGGTGTGCTCATCAAGAAGCTTTCCTTGGAATTTGCCTGAGTTTGGCTTTGCAAATTCTGTACAGCTCAGAGCAGAAGATGTCTTGTCTACACCTAATGTGCTGCACACATGCTGCAGTACCACCTCACATCCCTGCAGAATACAGGTGCACTAAGTCTGTACACACTTACCACACAGACCAACACCTACATGTACCATGCTTTAACCTGAAGCAGAAAAGTTACACAGCGTATCACTTCAGAAAATTAGTATTTCCCACTTCTGCTTTCATTCCTTATTGTTTTTCCTGGTCTCTTTAAAAATTATTCAGAACCAAACTTTGTCATTCATAGACCTTTGCCACAGACCTTTTCCTCACAGATTCAAAGGGAGAAGTCTCCTTGAATAATGTCCTGAGACAGTGACAGTGGGCCTCATTCTTACAGTCTTACACAAAGAAGTGCAGAGACGGACAAAGTACACACTCACCACAGTTTAGTTAATACGATGTTTTAACAACTTAATTAAACCACAGAAAACCCAAAAAGAGATAGTTTTCAGCATATTTCTGAAAGGTGGACAGAAATGTATCTGAATTAACATTGCATTTTTCATAATGTAGGTACAGAAATTAGATACCAAGAAATATACATACATCCATGTTAAGATACCAAAGCAGCTTTTCATGACAAGAATGTAAGTCCCATTTCTAAACAAGGCCTTTGAATAAAACAGACTGGAAGTAAACACATGCAGACAAAAAAGAAATCCATGCTTTTGCTAAAATCTACACTTTCCCAGACATCGTTCAGCAAAGTTACAAAGGCATGTGTTATGCACTGCCAAAGCTTCCAGGCCCACAGTTACAAATACAAGCACTTGTTGCAAAACAAAATTTTCTGTCTACTGCTATATGTTCACAGTTAACATGACCTATAAAGGGATTTTTTAGGGGACTGAAGCAGAATTAAGGGACCAGAATTAAGAATTAAATGACTGCTTCCAGATGGAAGTTGGCTTTTCAGGCTGCATCACCAAAACCTCACTTTTTTGTCATGCTATACACTTTTCTTACACCACTACTTCCACAATATGAGTTTCCATATTTAAAGAAAAAAAAAAAAAAAAA